TGGAAGGGACCACAGTGGGACCATCTGGTCCGACCTCCCTGCCCAGGCAGGGTCATCGCAGAGCACATGGCACAGGATTGCATCAAGATTGTTGCAGAATATCTCCACCGAGGGAGACACCACACCCTCTCTGGGCAAACTGTGCCAGTGCTCAGTCACCTGCACAGTAAAGAAGTTCTTCCTCATGCTCGGGTGGAACTTCCCGGCCATCAGTTTTTGCCCATTGCCTCTTGTCCTGTTGCTTGGCACCACAAGAAGATTGTAGATTACTTACCCACTCACCTGCTCATTCACTCCAATCTCCTTTCCCAGGTTTCTAATGGATGGTGACCCTCTGTGTGACAACAGCCCCACTGTCCTGCACCCACATGGATTGCCAGGTATCTAGAGAGCAAGGATAACATAGTTCTATAGTGAGTTACATGGGCTCTATATGATTTTAATTAAGAGATTTGCACAAGGGAAATCAGAAGGGCTTAGCTGGCTGGAAGTAGAAGGTCTGTGCCTAGCTGGAGGATTTCTGCTGAAGTATTAGTTTCAAAACAGAAGAAATGCTTGGAGATTTTGAGCACTGAGACAGGCAGCATAATGAGATAAATGGAGGTGAAATGAAAGACAAGACAAATGTGATTAGTGGGAGACAAAAAATAGAAATATCAATATAGAAAACTGAAGTTCTTAACACTAATGTTGATACAAAGGTATTGACACAAAGGAGGAAAAGACTGAGCCTGTGAGACGCATTATGGAGATGTTGAAAAAAATTGTCTATCAAGAAGTCCATCTGTTTCGATAACTTTTGGATTTTTACTAACAAAAAAGGAGGTTAATGGTGACCTTTCAAAAAAAAAAAATCAGAATTTAACTCCATTGGTTATGCCTTTGGATTAGAGAAACAAGAAAGGCGAGGTCAGTAGTAGAAATATAACCTCCACAGGGGAAAAGATAGATTATGTTGTAGATTCCATGAGATGTTAACACATCATAACCAAAGCTGTGTTTTAAAAACTCCTCTAGTGAGGTTCTGGGGGTTTTTAAGAGAAACAGAGGAACTAGAGAAGGGAAACGAGGTTGGCAGGATGAAAGCTATGAGGAGAAAGATGCTCTTTCCAAACAGCAACTTTTTTTCCCCAAAAATACTATTTCTTTTTGCAGAACTAAAATATGATCTTTGTAATAATTTTACTGTTTTAAAAGTTCTTGTACAATATAGCTATAAGAGCCAAAATGCCAAAAGTATTAGCTACAGGATCTCTACTAGTTAGATACTGAGGCAACAAAATCACTGGTTGAGATTAGAGAGATTAGAGCCACTGGTTTTCTAGCCAGCTTTTATCTAAGTCTTAATAAACAAAAGAGGGGTAATTTATTATATCATAAATGATTAAATATGTTAACAAACACAGGAACACAAGGTTCTTTTTCTTTAGAGCCTTCTGGGAATAATAACATGTATATATTAGGATTGCAGATTTGCACAATATTTCTAAGATCCACAACATGGTGTATTTAATATTATTTATTTTATTGAAATATTATATCAACTGGATTTAGAATTCAAGTACCTATATTTGAAATAATATGAAAAGATTAGTATGTTTGGATAAGTATTTCTTAGTGAACGTTAAAGTATTTCTCCAGAGATGCTGAAAACAGAAATAAGAGATTTTGTTACTTTCTTGATCCCTTACTCCATTAAGGTTTTATCACTTTAAAGTTGACCTGATGTGACCTGATGTGGTTAATTCTCTAATACATAGTTTGTAACTGGGTAGAGAATAGGCTTATATTAGAGACAACAACCAATGGCAAGATACATAAGGAGACAGGAAAATGTATATCAGTATTTATCTGGAAAAAAAAGAAAAGCATTTGAAAGCATAGCATTGGTATGGTATAAGATTTAGCCAATAATATTTGTTAACAGATTTCCATTTTCCATTCAAATATTTTATAAAATTGACTCAAACATCATGACTGTAAAATGAAAATGTTTTTGTTGCTTTGAGGTGTACAGTAGGTTAGGTGCAGGTTTTAACCACATCAGTGTTTATGACCATAATGAGCTGTATTGGGACCTATTGCTTGGGACCTCTGTGATTAGAGCAGTATTTTTCAAGTGTTTCAATTTTTGTTTTCTGAGGATCATAGGATCCCAGAATTGAAGTACCCTAACAGAAATGTTAGACTCAAAACGAAATTGTTCACTGTGTTGCCTTTGTTTCTCTTCCAGCAAAGGAGGAGGTAGATCACAGAACAGAAGAGCTTGATCAGTACAGCTGGCAGGAGTGGTTGGGACAGAGGGATGTGTGTGGCTGCTGAGCTGTTACAGTAGTTAGTGCAGAAGATTGCTCAGAGTCAATATACAGTGTTTAACTTTGATTAGACCAAAGCACATGTGTTATTTAGTTTTTTCCTATGGCCTTCTTCCTTCTATAGGCACAAATTTTTGTGTGATCTCTGTTTCCTCCCCCAATAAAAATATAAAAACATGAGATTTTAGTATGAAGCTATTATCTCTACACTTCTAGACACATTTTTTGTTCATAATAACTTCTTATTGGCTTAAAGATTCATTATGCAGAATTTTCTGCTCTTCTCATAAAAGTTGTGATATTTAGTAGAGACCTCATATACTGTCAACAGCCAACACTGTAGTACAGGACAGGATTTCACTGTATATCACATTACTTGTCAGGAACAGGGGAACAGTAGTGGTTTGGCACATTGTTTTCTTCCATAAAAATCATTGCAAATGTATCAGACCAAAGAGACAACAGCTGATATGCTGGCTCAAGCTTTTGTTCTCTTTGATTTTTTTGTAAGGCCCACTGTAAACAAATAAAAAGCATCATATTGATGCACAAATGCTTACCATTTTTAGACCAAGAATCATGTTAAGAGCCATATATTGTCTTCAGTGTGTGGTAGAGCTAAAGTCAATTAAAATTCTGTTACTACAGGCCTCTCATTTATCTGTATTTCCTCTGTTGATTCCACCTCCGGAAGAAAAAACCTTTTACAGGACTTGTTGCTGCCTGCCATACCTCCATCCTAGGAAAGAGGGATGCTTCACTGAGGCAACATGACACAAAGTGTTTCATTCTCCCTTGTCAACGAGGTTGTTTGCCCAGGCCCATCTGTGCTGCTCAGATTACCCTGCTCCGGGTCAAGCGGTCACCGAGGGAGCATTTCCCGCCCCACCTTTACACTCCCAGGCCTGAACACAGGTACTTTTCTCGGTCAGCACCCCTGTTTGTAGGCACAGGGCTCTGCAGCAGTGCCCTGCACCCTTGCAGGAGGTGTGTGTTGCCCCAGGGAGCAGGGCATGCACAGAACAAACCCCACAGCCTGGGCAGGCTCAGCCCAGCCAGGAGGAAGTAAACCAGAGACAGGCAGCACTAGCAGATGAAGGCAAATAATTTAAAGCTCCCAGGCAGTTGTTTGTTTACTTATTTATTCTAAATGTGCTAGAGAGGATGTCAAAACTTAAATCCAAAGCATATCACTGTAACCTGAGCAACTGTAACCATTACAGCCTCTTCACACTTGAATAGTTTCTCTACCTTAAATTTCTCCTTCCTTTTTCTAGTTCCAATTTTCTGGAGGGGAGAGAAGGAACAGCAGAATTTTGGAATGAATTGTAAGTGGAATTTAATACTTAGCAGCTGTCTGAAAACCTGGATTTTATTTTTTTTTTTAGCTTTAAATACTCATCTTGGTTTTTACTTTAAAAGATGCAATTGCTATTTCATACTCCTGTTGTGTGGCATGTATAACAGCTAACAAATTCACCTAAAAATCAGGCTAAAATACATTATTATTGTGCAATCACAGGACAAAAATAATGTAAACTCATGTACAGCATTTTCAAACATTAGTGGAATGGTAGGATCTAGACAATATGTAGGTATTAAATCAATAATCCAGACATTGAAGGGAATTCCTCAGACAGCTGTTGGATTTTTCCCCCTAATCAGTAATAATAATCCAATGGTGTTTGAAATGGCATGATTGTAAATTGGACTGTTTTTTTGTGCTGATATTTTCTCATGCATCTCAATGACTCCCTAAAATACAAAGAAGACCAAGTATTATTCATAGCCATGAATGTCCTGTGAAAAAGCTGCTGTTTGGATCTATGAAGTCTGTGCAAGATCTTTAGCCCTTACTGACAGATAACCCTAAGCTGGTTTACCACCAGTATGACCTGGTATCTCTTGTTTCCTAGCAGAATGACCCTGATGGATGTTAGTGCTTGTGCCAACTTCTGTGTGGCAGAAGGTGTGTGGGAACCAGGCCCACAGATTTTGAGGGACAACAGGGCTGGGGGATGGGCAAGCTGACCTATTAAGTCTCTTCCATCTCCAGTGTCTCCAGTTTTGCTTTCATATGGATTTCAGTGCCATGGAAATGTTTATTTTGTTTCTAGTAGCTGTGTAGACATATACAATACCTTGTTTCTAGGCTGGTCTAAGTTATTTTTTTATATAGCTATAACCAGCATACTTGGGCTATCCAGATTCCTATTTAAAAATACAAACATTTTTCTTTGTTCTTCTCTGCTTCACTGCACTATTGGGGCTTACTTATTTCAGTGTCATCCCTCCTAACCTAATCCAAACAATAACCTTGGCTCAACAATTTAAACATATTGAATCCCCAACCAGAGTAGTTTTCCCTAGTAATACTCTGATTACAGCAGCTTTTATGTCTGAACAGGAAAGGACCTTAAACACTAAATCTCATCAGCACTGTAAAAAATAAGTGGTGAGCATCAGTCACATTTTCTTGAAATACCACAAGTCTTTCTTGAGGCCTAATCCTTTAATCTCTGGATTTTGGGCACTTCTGTTCTGATTACTAGGGATCAAAAGGTTTGGCAAATACTCTTCAGACCACTCTTCAAAGTGGCCACTGTAATATTACCAGGTTGTTATGACAATTGTATGATTGTTTTGTTGTAGTGGTAGCTGGTATTTTTGGAAAAAGCAGAGGAATTAGTTTATCTCACATTGAAAATTAATAAAAAAGCACATGGTCCTCCAGTACAGACAGTCAGAGGATTTGAGAACATGGCAGTGTTGAAGTAAAGGAGAAATACCTTTCACTGATGATGGAAATTCCTCCTACTGTGTAAGATGCAACATTTCTAATGGAGGGTACCCTTAAAGGGCTGCTGTAACATATACAAGTGCTGTCTCCTAGCTTGTTCCCAAAGCTACAGAGGGATAATTCATTTTACTGCAGCTGGAAATCTTATGCCACTTCCTGCCTGAAATACTGTGTGAAGTTAAATGAGAAAAAAAGGAAAGAGTTTTACATGTCATCCATGGACCAAAATCAGTCCCTTAGGCCCTCCTACCAGACAGTTTTGTTCAATGTTCATTGGTCTGCTCTGAAAGTATACAGTTTTTTCCTAAAAGAAATAATTTCCTCATCCTGTTTTAAACAAAGGTGACGTAAATTGAAACAAATCAGTGACTCCTCCTTCACAATTTTTATTTTACTTATTGCAAACTAGAAATAAAATTGAGCTGAATATATTCCTCTATATTTGAGCACTGGGACTCCAAAAGACTGTCACTTTACATGTTAGATCTCCATCTCAGGAAGACAACTCCACCTCACTTCTGTTAAAGAGAGCTAAAAAGGCACTTACTTCCAACAGAGAGGCATTCTGTTGACAAGGCAGATTTGGGAAAAGGAACAATCTTGTCACCAAAATGCAGGGCCCTGCAGTTATAACGGGAGCAAGTGCAAATCTCTCCATTCTGCTCCTGTTCATCCCAGCCTGCATCACTGGGCTGCATTTGTTGTTCGTGTCCCTGCTGTTGTCAGTAAGAAATCCAGTTTGGTGTTTAGAACCAGAACCCCAGAGCCTGAAACAGCCAAATACTCTTCTGCTCATCATGAATATTTCATTTGCGTAGGTGTGTCAGCACTTGCATCCAGTTCCTCTTCACCTGGAAGATTATGTTCTGCTACAGAGCATAAAAGTCATTAGGAAAACACTTTTTTATGTGGGCTTTGCCACATTATATATTTGAGTGTGCATAGCAAGGGTGAATGCAGGTGAGGGCTTTCAGAGTTACTTTGCTGTGTTGACAGCACCACAACAGGTCTGGTCTTTACTATCCAATTGCATATTTTTATTAATTTTTCATTCAGTGCAGAATAAGGCATATTGGTTTTGAAATATTCAGTGACTATAGTGTGCTATCACCAAGCAAATTAATATGATGTAACAAGTACAAACAAGTTGTAATATTTTAAAATGTCAGTGTTGGCATTCAATGGTAGCCTTAACCTAATATAACACATGCTTTTGCATATTCTGTGTTGCTTGATAAAAGAAATGCTAATTGAGTTTGTAGTGTCAGTTCAGCCCTTGGCTTCCCTGATAATGCCTGCTCTCTGTTAGAAAACTTGTGCCAGTTTAAGAAAAGGAATTAAAAGTCAAGCTCTGTGCCCCTGTGTAAACCACCAGTATGGACACACCTGTCTGTGCATTAAACTGCACTGGAAAATTGCTCCAGCTTAGAGGAGGTATGAAGTTTTTCTCGCTGCAGTAAAAGATGTGTAGCTCTGAGTCAGCTGGGGGAAAACTCTGGTTTGTTATCTCTCGCCTGTTTTCATAAACAAATGCCAACAGCAATTGTTGTTTTTGCAGAGCCAGCAGAAATTCATAGGGGGTTTCTTTTTGTTGTTCTACCACACAAAAAAGAGATGTTATTTTAACAACAGAATGTTTGATAGCTTTTAAAAATACAAAGCCCCATTTTTAGGCATGCTGAGCCCCCATAATTTCTCTTGAAGTCACCTCTTGCTGCAGATGCCCCACAGCACTCTGAGGAGTCCCTCACATTCAAGATCCCAACAACATTAAGGAACATCTCTGATGTAAGCACAATCACCAGGAAAAGCACAGAGGCTTTGTTTTCTATACTCCAACACAAATTGGACTGAGTCTTTTGGAAGGTGCATATGTTGAATATGTTCTTAAACTTTGCCAAGCTTCCACCTCTGCAGTCAGCCTTAGTAGTAAGGTGCAAGTCAGCTTAAACTAAAGCAGGGTGTCTGTAATGGGAATCACTTTGTGAGAGGGAATGCAGAGGTAAGATTGGACATAGCTGCTGTGGGACACTTGGGGACAGGGAAACATCTGTCTATTGAAGAAACTCTCTATGCAAAAATAACCCCAGACACTGAGCTCAGTTCCCAGGCCAGGCCCATCTGAGAGAGGTTTAAAGATTTCTGTTGCGTGGTCAAAGTGGGTTTTTTCCCTTATTGCAGCTAAGGTTTTGCTGGGATTCATGCCTCATCAGGCAACAGTTAACAATACCAAAACACCTAAGATGTCAACTCCCTAACAAAAACAAGTACATAAATACAAAATGTATTAGTTGCATATATAGACAAAGTAAAATGCCCTTGCTTCCTTCCCATTGCCCCTTACTGTTCTCTTTCCTAAACAAAGTTTAATCACTACTTAATTTAGGTATTGTATATTCATTGAGTGTTACAGAACAGATGTACAAGCGATGCAGTGACAGGTTAAAGGCTCTTCAATCATTTAAAATTTCTTGTCAACTGGCTTATTAGCATTTTTAAGTGAATTTCTGTGTTCAAATGTTCTGAACATTTCGTTAACAAGGTAGGAAAGAAGAAAAAACTGGCTGAAGTTAATTTTGAACAGATCAGCTTTTATGCCTTTGGCTGTCCTGAGTAAAAAGAGCACTCCAAAGGCATTTAAGTTCAAAGACTAGGTTGTGGGTTCTTTTCACTAGAACCTGATGAAAAGAAAAAGATCCATTGGAACAGCTATTTTGTTTACTTAGATTTGGACATTCTCCTTCAGTGCTGGCAACTCAGATTCTGTAAGATCGTGCCACTGCATAAAAAGCAGCAAGTTGAATGTAGAGATAAAAGCAAATGTTTTCATCAAAGAATTCTCACTGTAAAAAGATAACTTGAAGTGTGAAAATATTAATTGTAGAATTATGCTGGTATCAGTAAATTGAAAAATTTACACATAAGTGTAAAGTTGCATTTGATAATTTTTTTGATGCAAGAATAAACCTGGAAAAGCTCTGGTTATAAACATAATTAGGTTGTGCCTCTTTACATTGTAAATTGAGTCTTAAAATGTACTTAAATAGAATTAAAACTTAAAATAATAAATTCTGGACTGAGATTGTCATAAACTGATGTCACACTTCCAGAACAGTGGCTTCACTTCTGTGAGGATCACCTGCCTATCACTGCTTAACCAGACTGAACTAACAGCTGTACTGCAGGAGATAGCCTTAGTGCAAACTTAGTCCAAAAATGCACTGAACCCCCCCACAGCTGACACTGTGAGGCATGAAAAGCTGCTGCACTCACTGTAAAGGCACTGTTTATACAGGAAGGCATTACCTCTGATGTGAATTTTAATGCATTCAGTGGCAACAAACATCGAGGCTTTTCTTAGGAGCCATCTAGTTAAAAGGAATGGGTGATGCTGGTCATGTAAGGTTGCTGAAGTTTTTTAATTAGTCTTTCTCCTTATTTTAAATATTAGAAGATTAATTGGTTCAATTACAAGTGGAATAGTTTTAAACTAAAATCAGGTTAAGGAGATGCTGAATACAATAAAAT